GTTCCCAGACTCGACAGTCAGACCACTGGGCACCACTGCCCTAAGTGCATGTAAAATATTTTTTGACACATATTTTCCTTGTACGGTTAAAATTCTGCTCACATATTTTTTTTGTAAACAGTGATGTACAAAATGCTTTAAAACCCACAACTCTTGCTTAAATTACAAAATATTGGAAATAAAAATATGAATTTAAAGAAAGAAATCGAAGCTATTAATTGAATTGCGTATTATTAAAATTGGGTACATACTCTAAAGGATGTCTTTAATTAAAACATAAAATGTTCTTACTCTTCCCAAATCGTTATTTTACAAATACAACCCTGTAGTATCGAAAATCGGTTTGGAGATAGAAGTATTATATATAGATTATTAAATTATTTTTTTTTTGTTTGTGGTCCTAGGAACATAAAATTTTGTAAATAGGCTTATAAATATATGTTTTCAGAAAATTATGGCATATCATAAATTTGCCAAATTTAGGGCAAAAATTTTTATTTATTTTTTACTTATAGAATTTATTATAGTTATTAGAGATTTATAATAGCAAGCTGTTAACGTAAACAAAGTTTTAAAAAACAATTTTGAATTAGTAAAAATAGGTAAATTTATGTTTTCACCTATAATTTTGGCTAAATTGTTGTTTTGTTATTTGGTTATGATTTGAATATTATTAAGTATGATAAGAAATTTAGCTATAATTTCGTTTACAGTAAGTAAAAGAGTACGTTTTTGCCTTTTTCCTGAATGTATTTATTTGTATGCTGAAAAACTCTGCTCTACGTCACATGATGTCAATGGTGAATCGGCGTATTTAACTACGTTTTCTTTTGTAATTCAATTTATAATGAAAATTTATAATTATTCCCCTTACTCGTAGAGTAAAAGGGTATACTAGATTCGTCGGAAAATATGTAATAGGTAGAAGGAAGCGTTTCCGACCCCATAAAGTATATATATTCTTGATCAGGATCACTAGCCGAGTCGATCTAGCCATGTCCGTCTGTCTGTCCGTCCGGATGAACTCTGAGATCTCGAAAACGTTATGACCTAGGCTATTGGGATTTGGCATGCATGAGCTTCTTCCTCAGCGCAAGTTTCCGCAAGGTGCCACACCCACTCTAACGCCCACAAACCGTTAAAAACTACTGCTTCTACAGTTTTGATGCTAGAATAAAAATTTTAACTGAAATATATTGTTCTTATCAATACCTTTCGATTGACCCAAAAAAAGTTTGCCACGCCCACAAACTTCAAAAAATCGTACATATGAACGCGGATATCTCGGAAACTATCGAAGATAGAGAATTGGGATCTCGGATTTAGATTTCGTAGCCTTGTACGCCACGCAAGTGTGTTACGCGAATATGCCACGCCCACTCTAACGCCTACAAACCGCCCAAGCCTGTGGCGCCCACAATTTTAATGCTAGACTCATTTTAACTGAAGTGTATTAGCCTTGTGAATACCTATCGATTGATCCAAAAAAAAGTTTGCCACGACCACTCTAACGCCCACAAACCGACCAAACCTGTGGCGCCTACAATTTTCATGCTACATAAAACATTTTAACTGAAATGTATTGGTCTCGTCAATACCTATCGATTGATCCAAAAAACGCCCACTCTGCCGCCCATAACGCTTAAATCTGTCTACCGCCCACACAACCATGTATTGAGATCACGGGTAGGTGACGCATTTCAATCTCGCTTTGCTGCTTGCCAATTTCCATTTCTCTTTGGTCCCTTTAGCTGAGTAACTGGTATCTGATAGTCGAGGTACTCGACTATAGAATTCTTTCTTGTTTTAATTAAGTTTAAGTATCAAAAATAAAAGCAACTCAAAAGTAAGGGATAATATAGCGACCTATTTACGAAATTTTCGCACGCAAAGCTGCAGGCGACCTTGCTAGTTACCCTGCAAGCAAAAGGGCGATATTTCTATCGCCTGTCGTCCAGGAGTCACTTCTTAGTAACTTCTGCGCGATAGAAAGACGATAGTACACATTTTACAAAAACAAAATATACATGTGTCGCGTAGAAGTAACTTCTAAGTCACTTCTGGACGATAGAAAGACGATAGTACACATTTTACAAAAACAAAAAGAGTAGCGATCGCGAAGAAGTAACTTCTGAGACACTTCTGCGCGATAAAAAGGCGATAGTACACATTTTACAAAAACAAGATATACATGTGTCGCGTAGTAGTAACTTCTAAGTCACTTCTGGACGATAGAAAGGCGATAGTACACATTTTACAAAAACAAAAAGGGTCGGGATCGCGAAGAAGTAACTTCTGAGACTCTTCTGCGCGATAGATAGACGATAGTACACATTTTACAAAAACAAAATTAATGAAAAAAAACAAGCCATAAAAAGAGGTCGCGGTAATTTTCCGTTACCCCTTTTTTTCTGAAAATTGTTTGGTCTTTCTTTTGACCCACGCTATTATTTTTCGCCCGAGCGTCATTTCGTTGCGCGATTTGTCTGTGTACAGTGCTGTTTTGTATCAATTTTGTGCGTTTTAAAAATATTGCTTTGTTTTTTTCTAAATGTTATTAATTGCTTAACATATTTAAATATCCCCCTCAACAAAGGGTGCGAAATTACGTGCTTATCGTGAGCTGTATGATTATTTAAAGCTATTTACGGACAAGCTAGCTGTGGACATTACTTGGCGTGTAACTGCGGAGAAACCCAGCATCCAACGATTCTCAACACATTTCATTGTAAAAGGTAATGTCTTCTAGTTTATTTTTACTTTGACTGAACAAAAAATAATTTTTGTTTCTGTTTCCTTTAGAAATGGTTATTAATAAATTTCTTGTGTCGACGGAGCTGGACCTAAATAACATTGATCAGCAAAATTTCCTACATGCCAGTGACCGTGTGTACAAGCGGACAAAGCCCTTATACACAAAATAAATGCACAATATTGAAAGTAAAAAAAATATGTTTTTGTTCAAGTTTTTCAAAGTAGGAAAGACTCTTCTAGATATCTTCTACAAGCAAATGTAAAGTCACTTCGGAGTAACTTCCAGAAGTGACTACGGCGACACTTCCAGAAGTAACGCAGAAGTGACTTCGAGAAGTGTCGCCGAAGTGGCACATTTCTTCCCGACGGGAGTCACTTCCGCGATCCGAATACGATATCGCGGACGATCGTTTTCATCTTCTTGAAGTCACTTAATAGTGCCTTCCGCGATAGAAAATGCTTGCAGGGTATACCCGTTTCTCGCAGAGTAAAATGGTATAATAGAGTCGTCGGAAAGTATGTAACAGGTAGAAGGCAGCGTTTCCGACCCCATAAAGTATATAAATTATTGATCAGGATCACTAGCCGAGTCGATCTAGCCATGTCCGTCTGTCTGTCCGTCCGGATAAACGCTAAGATCTCGAAAACTATAATATCTAGGCTATTGAGATTTGGCACGCAGATTCCTAAGCTTCTTACGCAGTGCACGTTTGTTTCAGCAGCGTGCCACGCCCACTCTAACGCCCACAAAGCGCCCAAATCTGTTACGCCCACAATTTTCATGCTAGAAAAAAGTTTTAACTGAGATGTATTAGTCTTGTCAATACCTATCGCTTGACCGTTTGCCAAGCCCATTCTAACGCCCATAACGTTTAAATCAGTCTACCGCCCACATAATCCATATATTGAGATCGCGGGTAGGTGGCGCATTTCAATCTCGTTTTGCTGCTTGCATATCTCCATTTCCTTTTGGTCCCTTAAGCTGAGTAACGAGAATCTAATACTCGAGGCACTCGACTATAGCGTTCATTCTTGTTTTGAAATAAAATTTAATTACTCTTCGAGTAACGGGTATAAACAGGAAAAAGAGTTATCTTCGTGATTGTTGCTAGCTTCCGTGTTATTTATTACAAGCAAGGGAAATCGATATAGATCAAAAAGCTATATCAAAAGCTATTAATTTCCCACTAATTTTCCGATTGTACCTAAAAAAGTTAGATGATATAGTCGCCCGAATTTTTCCAAATTCAATTCAAACTTCTGAAATAATAAAAATAATTATATTCTAAAGAGATGAAAATAGTAAGTCCATTTTTGTGTTTCTTAAAGTTTTCTCATTAAATTTCCGATCCGGCTCGTTCCACACAAATACATCGATTGGTAAAATTGACCAATATAATAGTAAAACGGTCCCCAACCCCAATTTTACCCATCAAATAGTTTTTCTTATGTAATACGCAATCTTAAAAGTTACTATTTAAAAAAATTCTGTAACTATAAAAAAGGGGTAGACTGAACTCAACCTAAGGATTGTACTTAAATAACTATTTTTATAATTATATAACCCATTGAATATAGTTAGTGTAAATATTAAATTAAACAAATAATTTTAAAATTGCACTTTTTAAAAATGACTTCCGCTAATGTGGAAGTATGTTGAGACTTTAGAGAAAATATGTTCTAACTTTTTAGAGCTAGGCTTTGGAGTGTATGTGTACGAGAAGCTAGAACCAGTTCGGAATTATAAACAACACATTGGATAAATTTTGTAAAGTCATTGTTGAATAGTTTTGTGTGGAAGATTTACGTTAGGATAATTATTTTTAATAGTTAATTAACTATTTACTATTGCAATAACAAAATACACACATCACGCGAACGTTACTATGTTAATATGGGCTTAATTATTAAAAAGTAAACAAAAACAAATACATATATAACTACTTTTAATAGTAAGGTAAAGTTTTTTATAGTTACTAAACTACCTGCTTTGGTAAATTTTACCAACCAAATATGTTTGTGTGTAATCTCAATAAAAATAAATGTCTTGAAAAGTTATCTTCTTGGCGCTTTAAAACTGAGAGACTAGTTCGCGAAGAATCGGACAGACGGACATTGCTAGATCGATCAGTATGCTGAATCTGTCGGAAAATGTCTCCTTCACAGCGTTGCAAACTTCTGACTGAAATAAATATACATACCGTCTGAAAGGGTATACAAATCCACCCAAAAAGATAGATTGAGAATTTCTGTGGTATTCTTTATGTATTTTCGTTTTTGATTGGAGTTTCTGTGGTTGGTTGCATTTGATTGACAGATCTTGTGGCACATATACCATCTGTATTGTTCTAAACTCAGGACATAAGTGTGTATTTATAGAGTTTAACTAACTGAACAACTAACGAACCTGTTCAACTGTAAATGCCACTGTCTCGGTGTCCCTATCTTTAACTTGGGGTAATTAACCCGTTTTCACGTTAAACTAAAAGTAGGCTTTTATACCAAATTTCTTTAACTTTTTTTAGGTTTAAGCCCGTGTACTTTTAGCTTAGCATGAGGACCAGAAAAAAATCATAAGGGTAAACGTTTAACTTGCAAGAGAAGATATGCCTTTAAAAATCTGAGCAAAATAACTCTACAACAGTGGTGCCCACTCAAGTACAATGAAATGTAAGACTTGTAGTTGTGTGCGTGTTCCGAAGACGCATCCCAAAGCCACACGAGCGTTTAAACTTTAAAGTGTCGGTGTAACCAGGGCGTCGGCAGAGGAACTATCAAGACTCGCGAGTCAGGCCAGCCCCACTGTTCTACAACATCAGAAACAATACCAGTTCTTGGACACCGAAGAATTTTTCGGTCTAAGCATCCCGAAAATGTTTACAGGTTTTTGTGTTTCCCCATGTATATAACATATTGCATATACATATAGAGCATTGGAGTTAATGGGAGGTTAACATAACCCCGCTTAAACATTAAGATTACATTTACAAGGGAAAATAAGCCTACATTAGATACAAATATATATATATATATCGACAATATATATATATATATATTTTGTATATTAGGATCACCGCTTGCCTGCCACAAGAGTGTTACATTGGAAAGTTTTTAATTTACAATCATATAGGTCACTGGTGTACTTCAAAAAATATATTTTCAAGTTGCAACCAAATAAGTCTATAAAGTGGATTAGCCCTATGCAATAATGAAAAACACCTTCGGACTTTCTAGATATTGCTAGTGGCTCCTCGTATAATAACATTTTTTAAAGGCTTTTAAGAAAAGGTAAAAACATTCTAAGTCGTGTGGCAAGCATGCAAGTTATGTAGGTTTGCAACCCACATAAACTTATTCGAAAAAGTCGGACAGGGTTTATGAGAGTTGCCTTCTTAAATATAGTCCTACAGGCTGACTCGCGTTGCAGTGAGCTAAACAAGTGATAATTGGGGCACCTTAGGGCTGAGGTTGAAAAATCTACAACCTAGAAGCGCTGCGGCAGTATTTCGCTTTTGGTACCCCTCAGCGCGTGTTTTTTCTTTCGGTGCGTGGATAGGTTGCAAGACTGCTTAAAGGAGGCATTGCAAAGTTCGCAGTTGAACCGCCGCTCCTTGCTATGTACCACCCGATGCAGCTCCATTCTGGACTTGTACTTGAACTTCAGACCGCATGTTTCATAATCGCAGACGTACCAGCGTTCTCCGTCATCCGAGGACACTGCGCTCCCGGCGCTTGCGGTCGTGCTGTTGGAGTCCTTGGGCAGCTGCTCCTGACTGGCGGCCAGCAGGGCGGCGGCCATTGCCGTTGAAGGGACGACAGACATATTGATTTGCTGCTGCTGCTGTTGTTGGTGGAGCGCATTGGGCGGCGTGGTGCTGACTGTATTGGAAGTGTTGGTGCTGGCGCTAACATTCACAAATCCTGACGTGGGCGGCGGGGGCGGCACAGGTGCTGGCACTAACTGTGGTAGATGGTAAATGGTCCCGCCAGCCGCTGCAGCAGCCTGCATTTCGGGTGTAAGTGTGAGACTGGCGGGCTCTATCTTGATGTCGATGACGCTGTTGCTACGGGTGCCTTCCTCACCAGCTGCGGCGGCAGCCACCACGTTGGCATGCAGTTCGGCCAGCTCCTTGGCAACATCCCGCTGCTGCTGTAGCTGCTGGTGGGCCTGCTGTTGCGTCTGCTGTTGCTGTTGTACCTGTTGTTGCACTTGCTGTTGTACTTGAACCTGCTGTTCGTGAAGCTCCACCTCACGCTGCTCCTCCTCGGAGTACTTGGTAGAGCAGTGATACAGTGCAAGGGGCACACTGACCGCAGTTGCGCCCTGCTGAGAGCTACCACCTGGAGTGGCCGCTGCCGCCGCAGCCTCCACATCTGTGAGGCAGTAGCTGGAGGTCCGACTGTGCTCCTGCTGCAAGAAGGCAACGATTATAAGCCCTTATGAGATAAAATCACGCCCAACCCACCTTGGCCACCCCATGCAGAAAGTTGTGCTCATCCTGTATGTGCTTCCAGAACTGATCTTGCGTCTGCAGCTCCTCCTGGCACGTATGGCAAACAATCCAGAAGCTATCCCCCGACAAACAGAACTCGCCAAGCTTCGTGTAAATCTTGTTGTTCTTGCTGAGGATGCGCGGAAAACCCATTGCGTCGTGCAGTTTCGACGTGCTCGTGTTTGTTTATGTTTATGTTTTATGTTTATTTTTGTTATTGTTTTGCTATCGGCAAAATAAGGCGCAATCGATAATGCCGATAAGCTATCGGCATATTTCTAAGTAATTTTCGAAGGTAGCTATCGCCTATCGCCTATCGCCTTGTCACTAAATACTATCGTATCTCTTCGAATTTTATTTGAATTATCGACCCTGTTCCAGTTTTCACATCCCAAAAATTGTCACGATTCGAACTTCCCAGCCCTGTTGAAAAAATTGCGAAAACAGTGTACGGAATCTTTCCCGAGTTGTTACTCTGTTAAGCCCAGTACTCGCATCGACGAAAACCGCGAGCTAACCATAGGAGTGAGCGAGAGGCAAATACGCGGCTAACGGTTTTCCTCGGGTCTGTTTTTAAGATGAGTTAAGGAAATACCAGAAAAAATACCAGATTTATCGAGTGAATTTCGATGAACGCCGTCAGACGCGGCCCAAAGAATAAGAAATTTAATCTTTGGCGGTGTTCGATAAAAAAAATTAAAAATGGAAGAAAACCCCAAAAACGGCTAAAGGAGGTCAATGCAGATGAAAAAAGACGCCTTATCCAAGCTGTTACCCATTTTTGTGGGACTTGACCGACAGGAAGCAATACAACAACGGGGCAAATCCGCAGAATAGTTGAAGTGCTGGAGGAGATCCACTAAAATGTCCCTGTGGGAAGGAACATGGGACAACGCTTGACCTCCGACGAGCTCTCCATTGAGGACTCCACCTCCACCAGCTACTTGACAGCTAAAGCGGAGATGGAGGACGCGCCGGCATCTCAAGGGAGGAGGAAATGAGGTCGCCCGCTAAGGGACAGCTGGAGGAGCCATCACTAACCATTATTGGCCAGCCTATTTGGACTCGGAGCTGGACTACAGATGGCGCGAGAAAGATGGCGAAGCTTCCGTGGGACGAGAAGAAAGCCTTAAACTTCTAATTTACATAAATAAAAACATTCGTTGAACATTTCATTTAATTATATAAAATATAATTATACTAGATTCGTCGGAAAGTATGTAACAGGCAGAAGGAAGAGTTTCCGACTTCATAAAGTACATATATTCTTGATCAGGATCACTAGCCAAGTCGATCTAGCCATGTCCGTCTGTCCATATGAACGCTGAGATTTCGGAAACTATAAGAGCTACGGTACTGGGATTAGGCATGCAGATTCCTGAGATTCCTGCGCAGCGCAAGTTTTTTCAGTAATGTGCTACGCCCACTCTAACGCCCACAAACCGCCCAAAACTGTGGCTCCTACAGTTTTGATGCTAGAATAAAAATTTGAACTGAAATGCATTGTTCTCATCAATACCTATCGATAACGCTTAAATCTGTCTACCATCTACATAACCATATATTGTGATCAGGGGTAGGGCGTAATTCAGTCAGTCTGCTGCTTGCATATCTCCATTTCCCCTTTGTCCCTTTAGCTAACTAACGGGTATCTGATAGTCGAGGTACTCGACTATAGCATTCTTTCTTGTTGTATTTTAATATATTTGTGCACCAGCAGACTCTTCTTTATTAAATTGATCCAATTGATTGTTTCCCGTTTGGCAACAAGCCTATCTGCTTGACAGTAAGACCATGCCACATGCATTGCGGGTAAACCTTGAAAACTTCGGTCACACTATAAAGAATACGATTTTTCGACTAGTGAAACTCTTAGCCGATCTGAGTACTAGGCTATATGCATTATGGGGTTGGAAACGTCTCCTTCACTGCGTTGCAAACTTCTGACTGAAATCAATACCCTCTGCAAGGGTAAAAAAGGGAAGAAATACCCTAAATCGTCTGTAGGAGGTCAGTGCAGACGAAAAAAGACGCCTAATCCAAGCTATTGCCCAGTACTGCGGCACTTAACCCACAGGAAGCAATACCCCAACAGGGCAAATCCGCGGAAGAATGGAAGTGCTGAAGGTAATCCAATCGAGAAGCCCATTGGAAAGGAGCATGGAGACATCGCTCCCTACATGGACATCCCAGTCGGAAACGACTGCATTCCAATACCTGTACTTTCATTATGAAATCGCACAAAAAACCTGTGCCGAAAGTGATAAGTCTTTTTATTCTATGTACACGGATGGGGAACAAAAAAGAACGCATCTAATGCATGCACCTAGCTGCATATATTTGGAGTGCACCCAAAAGGTACATTCTGTACGCATTAATTTAGAATACGCCCGTAACCTGTAAAAAGGAATGCACCTATATGCACCAAAAAGGTACATTCTGCACGCATTTATTTAAATTTAAAAGAATTAAAGTTTATATACATAGAACAGGTTTTTAATTTCATGTGTTTTTTATTTCAATATTAAAGAACGCAACAAATTTGTAATCGGATTCAATCCCCTTCTGTACGGGGATTTGCTGCTTTCTTCTTATTTTTGTAATTTTATCAATTACGCAGTTGAGTCCTTGGTGTGCCCCTTTTTGTGATTCTGAAAGATATAAAGCAAATTGAATATTACATATTTATATACATGTGTATGTATATTACAAATATAACATTTATTTATTTTGGCACAATTACACTGTTGTATGTATAATTTACATTCAAATAAGTATTATTTTATTTAATTCATTTTTTTTTAGTTTGTATGTTCAATGTACATATGTACAATTATACATTTTGTTTGTCAAGAAAACAGTACCGAAAAAAACGATGGTAAAATGCGACCATTGGCAACCTTCGAGTATCTCAGCAAACTGAACCAGGATGAATCATATTTTAACACATCTAGAAAGCATCGCAATGCAATGCACTTAGCACGCACATTTGCCTTGAAAAATGATCGTACGTTTTGCTTTACATAAAAAAATGCGTTTTATAACTATTTTACCGTAATGCGTTCCAAAATTTCCGTTTAAAGCCTAGTACTCAGATCTGCTAAGAGTTTCACTAGTCGAAAAATCGTATTCTTTGTAGTGTTACCGAAGTTTTTAAAGTTCACCCGCAATGCATGTAGCATGGTCTTACTGTCAAGCAGTTGGGTTTGAAATTTAAATTTAAAAAGGAGGAGTCTGCTGGTACACAAAGAAATTAAAATACAAATAAGTGGAATGTTCAACGAATGTTTTCATTTTTGTAAATCAGTAGTTTAAAGCTTCCTTTTCGTCCCACAGATGCTTCGCCATCTTTCCCGCTCCACCGCAGTCCAGCTCCGAGTCTCAATAGGCATATTGGACCTTGATGAAGTGGGAGCCGGATTGGGAACGGGGTTGATCCGCTGATGCTGCAGGAAGTCGCCCAGCATCCTGGCAGTGGCTGGCTATGGCTTCTCCAACTGTTCCTTAGCGGGCGCCCTATTTTCCTTCTCACTATAGAAGCCAGCGGGTCCTCCCGCTCCGCTTAAGCTGCCAAGTAGCTGGTGGTGGTGGTGTCCGGAGTCCTAATGGAGAGGTCGTTCTGCTAAAAAGATACGTCTATTAGTACAACGCGACCAAATTCTTTTGGCCAGATCTTACTTTCTTTGCGAGGACGTGCCCGGCAGGTTGTCCATGTAGAGATCGAAGTCCCACTCGGCATGTTCCTTCCCACTATGATTCTCTAGTGGATCTCCTCCAGCACTTCAACTATTCTGCGAATTTGCCCCTTTTGTGGAATAGCTTCCTGTCGGTGAAATCCCGCAATAAAGGGCATAAGCTTGGATTAGGCGTCCTATTTCATCTGCTCTGACTTTCTGGATTCGATTTTGGGGCTTTCCTTCCATTTTTAATTTTTAGTTTCAACATCGCCCTTGCACGAACACCGCCAAAGATTAAATTTCTTACTCTTTGGGCCGCGGCTAACGGCGTTCATCGAAAATTCACTCGCAAAATCTAGTATTTTTTCTGGTATTTCCTTAGCTCATTTGAGTACCGCGCTGAAAAACAGACCCGACGAAAAGCGTTAGCCGCGTATTTGCCTCTCGCTCACTCCTATGGTTAGCTCGCGGTTTTCGTCGATCTGAGTACTAGGCTTAAGCATATATCTGGATGTACTTTATTGAAACCCATCCAGACGACCCCGCAATAAAGTGCACCTACCACGAACATGCGTCATGCGTCCGTTTTGTGTAAAAACAAGAAAGGAAGTTAACTACGGCAAGCCGAAGTTTGTATACAGTGGCAGTTATAAGAAATAATCAATCTTAGTAACACCATGTAAAATTTTTAAGGATTGTTGCTAGCTTCAGTGATATTTGTGTAAAATTAAATTCGTAATGCTGAAAAGTTAAGATATTCTATATCCCAGAGTAAAAGAAAATACGATGAAAATCAAAGAAGTAAAATTTTTTTAAAATAATTATTTCATTATATCTCCGACCTTATTTTTGACAGCTATATGTTAGAGTCGTCCGATTTTTATTAAATTTAATTCGAAATTCCTGAAATTACAAAAAATGATATTCCCATTAGTATCAGAAAATATGTCAAAAAACACTGTAGCTATAATTTGTTTCATATTATTTCCACACCACTTTTCCGATCGTTCCTATGGCAGCTATATGCTATGATATTAAATTCGAAATTCACAACTAATTAAAAAATGTTATTTCCAAGCGTAGGAGGTTATATGATAAAAAACACCAAAGATATCATTTTTTAAGTTTTTTTTTCCGATTATTTCTATTGGAGCTATAAGATATAGTTGTCCGATCCGGCTGGTTCCGACTAATATACTACCTGCAAAAAAATAAGACTTTTGGGAAAGTTTCAGCCCGATAGCTTTAAAACTGAGAGACTAGTTTGCGTAGCAACGGACTGACAGACGGACAGATGGACATGGCTAGATCGACTCGTCTAGTGATGCTGGTCAAGAATATATATACTTTATGGGGTCAGAAACGTCTCCTTCACTGCGTTGCAAACTTCTGACTGAAATCATAATACCCTCTGCAAGGGTATCAGCTACTTGACAGCTAATGCGGAGCTGGAGGATGCGTTGGCTTCTATAGGTAGGAAGATGAAAAAGGCCGCCTCCTAAAGGCCAGCTGGAGGAGCTATTACCAGCCGTTGCTAGGATGCTAGGCGACTTTCTGCAGTACCACCAGCAGAACAACCCCGTTGCCAACC